TGAGATATATATATATATAGATACATATATATGTATATATATTAAAAAAAATACTCACTACCAAAGTTGTCATCAGTTTCATACTAAAGTATAAAAGTAAGGGTGAGGTCAGCCACAGTGCTAGGGAAAGTTTTATTGAGATACATTTATGTCCACATGAAACGCTTAGACTTGCATCCTATTACATATGGAATTCCGAGTTTACAACACGCCATGGACGGCAGATTGGCTAGCCCACGCTACTCAAGAGGACACGCACAGATTCCACACGGGTGGTTCGGTATGTACAGGTACAGTAGTAGCGCCTTCTCGGGAGGCCCTGGGACTTGTCCCCCAGTCCCCCGCCCCACCCCCTCCTGTGCCGCCTCCCGGGAATGACATCCTGTCTGCCACAATACATTCTGATTATTTCTGATAGCCGAGTGGTTGGATTAAGGTTGCTTCCCTGGAGGGGTGGGTTTATATCGATTTCTTTGTGTCTTAGTTTATTTACTTTTTTTTTTTTTTTTTGGTTAAAAAAAAAAAAAAAAGGAAAGGAAGAGAAAACAAACATAGTACAGTATTAAAGTATTGCTTAACGTAAGGTGGTGTTTCCTTGTGTAGTGTCTGCGCCCAGGTCTGGGCTGAGCTGACTGCTGCTGCTTTTCTGCTTGGGGTGAGGGCGGGGGAGGCCGCCAGTGTCTGCAATGTGCTTGCCTGTGTCTGCCCCTCTGCTCCTCCCTTGCTTTTTTTTTTTTCTTCCTTGGGAGGTAGCCTGGCTGGTGAAGCACATTCAGAACAAAATTCTCCCCTCCCCAACCCATCCCCAAGGCTCCCTCGGTCCCTGCATGCCACTCCCAACCGATAAAGAGAAGTATGAGTTAGTGTTTCTTTTGTAAACAATTTCATATGCAATATAATACAGAAAGCATGGCTGACCTTCGAGAAAACATGTAGTAAACTATATTGCTTTGTTTTTGATGACGCTGCAGTGAGTGAATGGCAGAATGAAGCAGTGTGGTGGTGGCTAAGTCCCTAGCCCTCGTTTGCACTAAAGATCAAAGACAGGTTTTGTTTTTCTATTTGGAACCCAAACAAATCTTTTTTTTTTTTTTTCTTCAAAATCCCCAAATGAAAAACCAAAAAAGAAGAAAGAAAGAAAGAAAGAAAAAAAAAAAAGACCCCCCTTCCCCCAAATAAAAATAAAACTGAAAACAAAAACTAAACACCTTTCAGGTCATTAGAACCAACAGTTACCCAATGATTTTGAAACTAGTCTAGCAAGATGTGTGTAACATTCACTGGCTGTGAATTGCTGTGCTGTGAGACATTAGATTGACAGCAAAGAGCCATGCTACCTTAAAGTCCAAGCTACGAGTTCAAATTAAGATGAAGGGTATGGAGGATAGAAACGCAAAGGCCTGTCGGGGCTTCGTTTGAATCAAGCCCAGGAGCGCCCGGGACGGAGCGAGAGGCTGTTTGGTTTTCCCAGCGGGTGTGAGGAAGGCCACGGACCGGGTGTGCGACCGCTCCCGAGAGGGGACCCCGCGCTGGGTCATCCCCGGGCGGGACAGGCACCGGGTCCGGGAGCTGATGCCCCTCACTCTCCTCTGCCTGAAGGAGAGGAGCCTGGGGGTCCCGGGCAGATGGATCTGGAAGCCAGAGAGTCACCCGGTGGCTGTTTTATGATTATTTTATGAAGCCGGGGAAAAGCCATCGGCCGAGAGGGTTTCTCCCCCAGGGAAGGCGAAAAAGGCGGTTCCCGTGTGCGCCATCGAGCTTGATTGGAACGAAGACGAGGCTGAACGTCAGTGCGAACAAAATTTACAAAAATCTTTCCAAATGGACTTCTAGATGAGTGGGGGGTGGGCGGAGGAGGGTGAAGGGAGAGACTAACGTGAACCTTAACCTAGGTAGCCACATGAAAACGTATCAGATTTCCACGAGATTTGTGCTATGGGCTACTGGGTCTCTTCAAAAGGTATTATAAACATCTAAAACATAGTCACACAGATTATCAATTTCTTCTGAGCATTCTTAAAAAAATATTTTTTTTTTCTCTTAGTAAAATCATTTGAATATACCATGCCTCCCTCTTTTAAAAAATAAATTAAAAAAATCCAGTTTTGCATATCTAGCGTTAGCATTTAAGGTAGTATGGCACACCCCTTTCACAGTCGCGGGGCGGGGTGGGTGGGAATCTACAAACGCCTTGGCGTCTGCCGGCATTTGAACATCGTGAGACCTTGGGTTAGTTGAAACCACATCAGATCAGCGAGAAACAAAACGAAAACTTGAAATCGGAAAAAAAAAAAAAAATGAAAAGGAATAAACTGCCCCCAAATTATTAGCTTTTTTTTTTTTTTTCCCCATAAATAAGAGAAAGTTCTATCCTTACTGGTCCTAAATCTGAATAACTATGTCTAAATTTTTTAAACCTTAATTACGTTATACCTATCAATATGTACTAGAAGAAAGAGGAGAAAAAAAGTCACTATACTAGTACCAGGACAGCACGCTTACAAGATAGCCATTTTATACATTATTAACAGACAGTGATCAACAAAGAGTCTCCGGTGAGGGATGCAGAGAAAGGCAGGGTAGTACAGTACATCACCAACATGGACAAAACAGTAATTGAATTCCCTAGTCTAGACACCGAGTTTCTGGGAATTGACTGTCTCTTTTTGTCTTGTTTTTGTTTTTCTTCGATAAAATGTCTATTTTGTTATGTTATTACATGAACAGGTTTGGATATGTTAAAAGCGCCCAGCTTTTTACTGTAACCTGGTTGTTTGGTAATCGAAAGAAAAACATCCCTCAGCCCCCCTCCCCCCCGGCAAAAATCTCACCAAACAACCCAACGTTTTATTGGAAAAACAAATCACACGATTATTTGTAAGTGTTGTTGTTTAATTAGAATGGGGAAAGGCTCCTTTTCCTTTCTTTCTGAGTGAGCATGTTGGAGCCTTTTGTTTGAAGATGCATTTGCCCTACCGTGTCCGTGAATGTAGTCTACGTCAGTCTACTTTGTTAGGAAAATTTATAAAAATAGGAGTGCAGCAGCTCTTTATAATAAATGTCGCATTCAGTGTCTCATACTGGCTGTGCCTTAAGTACCAAATTTATAAACGTAACAATTTAAAAAATATTAATAAAACGGCAATATCACATTTTTAAAAAAGAAAAAAATATATATCCACGCTACAATATGTTTTAATGCCATCTATTGAGTTGTACTTCTATAGTTGCTGTTGCCGACCTATTACCAATATTAAAAAAAAAAAAAAAGTTAAATTAAAAAATATCCTTCATCATAAGTATCTCTCCCCAACCGAGGACCATATATTATAACAGCCAAATGCTAACCTGTGCAAACAGGAAACTGTCAGTTTTTCCCACCAGTCACAGTGCAGCGATGTTTATACTTTTTATTTTTAAAATTCTGTTTACATCTACAATAAATTAAAAAAAAAAAATTCTTCCATAGCCTCTCTGGTGATACTTGCAGCACTGAGGTATTAAAAATAATATATAAACCGAAAGGTTGCTTTCTTAATTTGTAAATAGAAAGTGAATGGAGAAAAGGTTTCAGTAATGCAGGCTTATCCACTCCTGGCCTGGGGGCCTCAGAGCTGGGGGCGGGGAGGGATGGAGGGGGAGGGGAGGGGAGAAGAGAGGCAAAGGGTCCCAGGGCCCTTCGGAGGTGCTGAAATGATTGGACAATAGAAAAATGATCAAATATTGAAAAATTAAGACTGAAAAAGGATGTCTCCCCACCCCTCCCTTCCCAAGCCAAACAGATGTGCTTTGAAACTTTAAATAGGTTAAATATTAAAATTGTAGCTTTGTTTTTCTTTAAAAAACGTCTTGGGAAAAGCGGTTTTCCGTATTTTAAATAAAAACCTAACTAGACGGTAACGTTTGAAGCTGTGCACAGACGAGAGGTTAATATGCTGGTATGACACTAATCGAGTCTTCCACACAGACAAAGAGGAGCTAAACAGTGTTCCAACTCTTTCCGGGGTCGTCCTGGCAGCTGGGTGTCCTTCAGCCTCCGCACGCAACCCACTGCGTCCCGGGCCTCCCCTCCTCCCCGCACAGAGCATCGAGCTGCCTGGGACCGACTCCCTCACAAAAATATCTTTTGATTCTCTCTTTCTTAATAAGTTTCTATGTAGTTAATGGAATTGTATTTACAACAGTTTTTTTTGTTTTTTTTTTTAGAAGTCACAATTTTCAAAAAACCTTATATCACCTCTTTCAACAGAAAAAAAGCACTTATAGAAAAGGAGGACACTCGAAACATGGTCATCCTTACCTTATTGCCGAAAATAGATAGATATACTTAGGTTAACAAAGAGACATCACCGAAAAGAACCGCGTAGCCTGTGGTTAGCCTACTGCATCTCACTCCGGGGACAGCCCGAGTGGAGAGCCAGCGCCCCCCTCCCTGCCGCGCCTCGCACCCGCGCTTCCCCCCAGTGCGCGCTCAAGTTGCACCTGAAAATCCAGACAGTCTCAGAATTGGTACCAAAACATTGAGAGTCATATTACCATCTCAGCATCCTTTAAAAGTGAGAACAGAATCAAACAAGCAAAAAAAAAAAAAAGCGCTGTGTTTTTTTTTTTTTTTTTAAAGAAAAAAATAATACCTTAATATAACAATTATACTATGGTTAGCTTTTTTAACTAGATATTAAAGCTATATGACTACTTGGACTAAGTCAAAAATCACTACTAAATGTGATTCAAAGAGACTTCAAAGGAGAAGGGGCCAGAGAGAAGGGGGAAGGGAAACCATCAAGAAAAACAAAACAAAACAAAGAAAACACAAAACAAAACCAAAATCATGGTTATCTATATATACACAGTGAAAAGCTGTTGTCTTATATTACAGCAGACTCGTGAGATGATGAGATGTGTCAACCCTCGATCCGAAGCGAGCCATCTCTGGTTGGGGTGGGGAGTGAGGCTGGTGGGGGTCCAGGTCTGATGACATCACCTAAACAAAGGGCCGCTCAGAAACTTCGCCCAGTCTTGCCTGGACATCCAGGTATGCTCTGCAGGTAGGTACGGAAGGTCGGGGTGCCCGGAAGAGAACATAAAAGTGGGGGGGGGGGGGGGGGGGGAGGAGGAGAAAGAAGTGTCAGGCAAATATCCCCTTTATTCCGACTACGCTTGCACAGTGTCACGCCGCGGGGCTCCTGGGCATGCTTGAGACTGGCCTGGCTAACAGCTCGCTGGGGCACAGCTCAGGAACCCTGACATCTAAGCCGGCCGAGGCTGGGGCCGGGGCCCGGGGCAGGGCAGCGAGTCAGCTCGCTTTGCCGGGAGGATGCAGAGCCGTGGGGTCCCTGAGGGGATGGCAGGAAGTGTGGGCCACCCATGCGGTCATGCTGGTTGTGGGCCGGCCTGGTGAACTGCATGCCCAGCAGCGATGCTTTCTCTGTTAAGCATCTGCTCTCAAGGCCGCCATGTTTGAAAAATGTCTGCCTTGATAAGCTCCCCACCAATGACGGCCCAGAACGGAAAATGCCAGTGCCCACTAAAAGGACTCCTAGGAATCGAGCTAGGAATCAAGGTCAGGACATTATGAAACATTCGCAATGAACAACCAGCTTTGCTTACAGGAAATGGAACAGGCCCAGTGGTCACGGGTGTGAGAGCTGAGTCTCCCTGATGCGAGGAGAGGGCGGGGGAGGAGGCATGGGCCCCCGGGAGTGGGGGGAAGGCAATGAAGCGTGCCTTTTGGTGCAGCCACCTGGCTCAGTTGACTCCCTTCATCCCTTCATCCATTTATTTTTATTTTTAATTTTTTTGGGGGGGTCGGGTTGCTACCTCCACTCTCTTTGTTATTTCCTCCTTCTGTGGAAACTGAGTCCCAGAGCTGGATGGAAGATGGGCTGGGAGCAGCCCTGCCCCTCCCACACCCCAGGGAAAGGCTGGGGTGGCCTAGGAGGTGGTGGCCAGAGCCCTGCACCACCCTCCTTTACCAGGGAGGGGGGAGCGCTGGCAGCCTCCCCCCGCCCCCCCCGCCCCCCCGCCTCCCAGGGATCTGCTGCACCTCGTGTTTGTACAATCCCCTGGTCATGTGACTACAGAGGGCTGGAGCCACCTCAGTCCCCAAAGTCCCCGGATCTCTCCGTCGGTCCGGCTCTCCGAGGACCCTGCCTCCCTCTGGGGCCCGACCTCAGCCTCATTAGTGGGGAGCATCTCTCCTTCAAACTGTTAGTGCCTCTGGCTCCCCCATGGCTGGGCCAGCGCTCTAAGGGCGGTGGAGCGAGGGCTGGGAGCGTCCACACACGGTTTATTGGGTTAAGAGAGGTAGTTGGGTTAGTTGAGGTGATTCCTTAGCAGCAACGTTAGAGAAATCCAAGAGGAATTCATGGAGCTCAACTCAACTGGGTCCCCCTGGAGGAGAGAGGAATCCCACGGACTGCACACCAGCGGCCACCAGCTCCAGCCCGGCCCCTCCAGGAGTGACAGGCGCCCCGGCCGGCTGGGGCTTTCTGAGTGGGCCCCGTTCCCAGGCTTCGCTGCCACCTTCCTCCCTCTTCCCGAGAGAGAGAGAGAGAGAGAGACCCACGTCTCAGGGTCCCCACACTAACGCACCAGCTTCCCGTCAGCACCCCTCTGGCTTTCCACTCGCCCCCCCCCCCCCCCCCCCCCGCCAGGATGGCAGGTTCCCATTTTCAAAATGAGAGCGTGTGACAAGAGGCTCCCTCCCTGACTGCCCCGGCCTCCCTCTCCTCCACGCCACCCTTTCCACAGCCCGTCAAAGTGATTTAAAAAATGTTTAATTAACTCAGAGCTCAGTTTAAAAGGTTAGGAAACTGGCAGGGATCCAAGCCCGTGTTACGCAGGTGATATCGTTAATTTAATTTGCTTTTTGAGCGGTAATCTGGGTAATTACTCAGTCGTTACTGGCAAAAAATGTTTTCTTTTCGCTCAAAGTTGCAGTCTGGGCCGTTGGACGGCAGGAACCCCGTTGTCCGAGGCCAGGAGCTCTGGGGAGCGGAGAGGCCCGGCACCCCACAAGGGCAGCTCCCGGGACCCTGCGGGGGAGGCCTGGCGGGAGCCCAGCGCGTCCCTGCCTCCGCTCCCCCGGGACGGGCACAACAGGCGATCGCCTTCCAGTTTCCCACACTCCTGATTGATTGTATTTCCAGACAAAGAACGATGAGGAGGGGTGGGGAAGATGAAGAAAAGGGAGCAAAAGAACCAAACCGAGAAAAGAAAAGACAGTAAAAAATAAAGAGTGTGTGGGGGGAGCGTCATGATTAAAGCTGAAGAAAGGAATGGAAGATGAAAAGATTGGATTTTTTTTTTTAATCCCCCTTCCCCCCCCCTCGAGAAAGTTCCAGAGAGAGGAGAGAGGTAGACGTGATGAGGCCGGGCCTGTGCGTACTGCATGCCCGGGGCGCAGGCACTACGGAAGGCCCGGCGGGGCGGAGACGTAGGCAGAGAAGGTAATACCTCAGAGTGAGATGGCAACGAAAGCACCTGCTCAATGGTATCCATTTGTAAAGGCCGTTGCAATCAAAGGTCCCTAAAATTGCACAATTGTTAAGGTCATCAGCACGCTATACATGGGAACAGATTGTCATATTCTGGGAGAGGAAATGATGTCTGGGACTAGACTGTGGTTGCCAGCATGAATATGTAATTCTGAGACACCGTCCCCCCCCCCCCCCCCAATCCCCCGGCCCCGCTCCCACCCCACGCCTGTTGGCGTGCCCGGGGGAAAATCGAGAGCCAGATTCAGGGGCGGGTGGTGATGGGAAATGGGGGCTCAAGCCCCAAATGCGAGGGCGAAGAGAACAGTGACTCCGGCCTTCGGGCGGCTCCAGCTGGGGAGAGAGCGAGTCCTGTGCAGACCAGAGGCGGTGTTCTGTGGTTATTTCTGAAAACAGCCCACGGGTCACAGAGACCCGGGTGATGGGAGAACACACAGGGCTCGTGTTTCTGGGTGCTGAGGATGGGAATGAGTTGTGTCCTATGTGGTGAGAGAGGGTCTCCCAACCGGATGCAGCTCTCAGCTGAGTAACAGTACTCTGGACTTGATCCTACAGCTGATCTGAGCGGTTTTGATGCATCCATCTACTGACTTAAATGATATTGGCTTGGGAGTGGAATTGAACAAGGACCCAGACCACAGAGGCCAGGGCTGGTGTGTGTGTGTGTGTGTGTGAGTGAGTGTTGGCAATCGGGGGCAGAAACCCAGAGGCCCTGGTGTCCCACACTGTCTGCACTTGCTCTGTTCTCCCCAGCGCAGGCCCTGAGGCAGGCTCTCGCGACAAGGACAGGAGCTGGGACAGCAGACACTCCCATTTCAGCTCCAAGCCAAACTGCCTCCGAGGCGCCCAGGTTGGCTAGGGCAGAGGTTGGCTGATTTTGTTTTCCAAATGGAAGGGGGCATCGAGTGAGTGGGCTCAGGCACATTCATGCTCACACACACCGGGAGGGAAAAGAACAATACAATCTGAAAACAGCATGCAAATCTGTTAAGCAAATTTCTATGGCCTGGATTAGTCAGATTATAGAACCACAGAGCATTACAAATATCAAATGCATTTGGCCTTGGTGGGGAGGGCACAGCTAAAGAACACGAGTGGGAACTTACTTGGAACCTGGAAACTGTAAGAAACGTTAGCAAAGGAGACCTCCGGGGAGGGGGCCTGCACCGCACGCCCTGTCCAGGCCCACGTCTCCAGAAGGCGGAGATCAAGGACCAGGGGCCCATACTGAGGACTGACTATGTGCCACCAGGTGACATATCCCATTCCTATGAATTTCAGGCCTCTGAGAGAGGCATGCTTATTTCTGTTCTGCAGCCAGGGAAGTGGTGGGCCACATAAGTGGCTCAGGGTGGCACGGGCTGACGGTGATGGCGTGGTGCTCTGAGCCTGCCCTGCCCACGCGCCTTCCACGCCATCATGTGGCGCGGCCCATAGGCGCTCTGGTAAGGCCCGAATGGAGGAGCTGAATGGGGACCCACTGCGTTCTCCTCGGCTCCCAACTCTGGGCGTTCCCGGCACACCCTCCCCACGGGCCACGGAAGATGGGCAGGGAGGAGGCAGGAAGGCGGGGCGGGGAAGGCGGGTACTTACAGCGATGCCGTGGCCGAAGCCGGAGCCCGGCTGTGGGCTGGCCGCGCTTATGTAATTCCCCACTCCGGAGTCCTGGCTGGCAGGGCCGTAGAGATCGGCGACGGGTCCTGGGCTGTTGGCCCCCGGGAAGCCTCCGGGCCGCGCCGGGTTGGAGCCTGCCGGGGAAGCGGGCGCGCCAAAATTCGGTTGAGCACTGTAGCTATTCAGGACTGGTGTGCAGAGAATAGAGCTGGGTATGAGGCCAGAAGCCAGGCATGCACCGGTCATCACAAGCCAAACACTAGAGAAAAAAACAGCTGAGGCCCAACTTCTAACACTCAACCAAGGCCATGCGGAAACATCAGCAGGGACTCAAGAATACTCAGCCCAGCCTACTACTAAGAAGCTCGGAGCTCCAAAAATAGAGAGAATAAAAAAAACAACCATTCAACACACTACGGCAGTCAACCGGAGGGTGCTCCACTGCCCACCGAGTTATCACAATAGAAATAGAGATATATAGGGAAGAGAGAGAGAGAGATTTTTGTTCACATCTGATTTGATGCTCATGCAGTCTTGTCTAGGTCTGGGCACGTTGAGACAGCATTCACATCCCATGCAAACTACAAAGGAACTAGTTTTAGACTACACATTGTGTTAATATTGATATTAAAACGTGACAGGAAACAAAGCAATTTGTTGTCTAGGACAAAAAAAAACCAAAATCTTCGGGGAGGGGGTTTTTGATTTTTTTTGTTTCACATTTTCTTTTTTGTTTGTTTGTTTTTGGATCCATTAAATGACAAATTTGTTTTTTTGTTTGTTTGTTTTTTGACAAAAAAGATCTCCAGCCCCGCACCCAACCACTTCCCCCCTCCCCGCTGGCTACGCCCTCCCCACCCGCCCCTCCCGCTGACATCCCTGCATGAAAGTCGTCCGTACGGAACGTGGTCGAAGGATGGGATATGTCATGGAAAATCTGGGCATCTCCACAGACCCGGAATGAAGGTGGCAGAGGGTTCCCCTTTGGGGTGGAGAGCAGGGGATGGAGGGAGGGGGTGGGGTGGGGATGGCAGATCTGGAGGCGGGGGCCGACGTTGGGTGAATGCCAATGATACTTCTATGGGACACCCACACACTCACCTCCTGCAGTAGAAGGAAAGGGGGGATTTAAACTTTTTTTCCTTTTGTTTAAAAAAAAAAAAAGAGACAGAAATATGAATGCAGAACATACGGACTGAACCAGTTTATAGCTAAAGCATATCTGACTGAAATGCCTGCTTCCTGTTAGTTCTCTTCCGATATAAACTCCAGGCTGATAAAAAGAGCAGGGAATGTACCTTTGTGACAGCAAGTGGGGACTCTGAGCCCCAAATCCCCAGAGCGGTGGGTGAGGAGGAGCAGGAGGAGTCACAGCCTGGGCCTCCCACCCTTCACCTCCCCAATCCCATCATTCCCTTCCTCCCTTGTGAGAGCCACGGCTCCCACCCAGGTTAATTTTGTCTCATCGTCCGGTCCCCTTCATAACTTAAACGTTTTATTTTCCAGGATGGGAAACATTTTTTATTTTAATTGCAAAAGCTAAGTTCTCATTGATTTTCAAGCTCAAGGTGACTGGGGCTGGCGACGTCTGGGCGACAGCTAACCTGTCTTGAAGAACCGTGGGCGACATCTGGGCTCCATGCATTCCCGCGGCTCCAAGGGACCGAACCTCCACATCTCCCTCCTGCCCCCTCAGCATTGCCCTCTCTGCCCGTGGCCAGCTGCCCTCACGGCAGAAGGAAAGAACCTGTATACCCCTCTTGGTCATGCCCTGCCCAGGGGTCTGTGGTTGCAGTCCCCCGCTTCTGGTGGGCTGGAGAAGCCGGAAGTGGATGGATTTTTACCAACCCGTCGCTGGGAATGGGAAGAGACCGACTGACCCCGCACCCAAGCCAGACTGGAGGAGATTGGGGACAAGAAGGTTCAAAAGAGACCAAACCAGGCTGCTTGGCTCCTGACTCAGCAGAGAAAAGGGGAGCTGCTACCTGGGATGCCTGCCCTCTGGGCGGGAGGTCCCAACGTGAGGCCTCTTGGAAGCTGTAGCCGGGAAGTGAATGAACGGGCTGATGAAAAGAACAGGTTAAAGAGAGAGAGAGAGAGAGAAAAAAAAAAAAATCACAGAGGCTTAGAGCAAATAAGTGGCTGATTTGAGAATGCACTGGCAGACAAAAGGGACGGGGCTTTTGAATATAGATTAAGCTTGCAGATAACATTTGTCCTTTCTCACTCAGGGAGGCAAGTATCAAGCCGAGATGTTCAAAAGGCAGAATTATCTTGGTCTCACACACTTTTTTCCCCCTCTGGGCTAGGGAAAGTGGCCAGCGCTCAGACCGTGGCCTCTTGGGTCACCCAGGCAGCTGACCCCCGTCCTACACAAAGTAACTAACAAGTGGCTAGCCTGCTCTGTTTCGGGTGGGAGGCGCAGAGTGGAAGATGGATAGATTTATTTATTTATTATTATTCTTTTTGCAGATGAGGATCTAAGAAGAGAGTGGGCAGGCCCACCACCGCTCTAGAAGCTGGGCTGGGAGAAGGGAGCTTGCAGTCTCGGCTCTCTCCAGTAGGGGGAGAACTACCCAGAGACCCATCCACCGGCAGAGGCAACCTGGGGGACAGGATGCAGCGTGCGCACAGAAGGATGCTGCCCAGAAACGCCCCCTCCATGGACTCAGAGACTAGAGGGCTGCAGGCCTTTTTCCCATCCCTGCTACCTCCCCGCTCCTGTGCGCCCAGGCCTGCAGTGTAAGAGTTGGTCCGAAGGAAATGTGGCCATAAGCAGCTCTTAGGCCCGTAAACCCCTCCCCTGCTCAGCCATCTTCCATCAAATGGCACTAAAGGCGCTGTATTAGAATGCAGCTTTAAATCCCCAGCCCCCTATGTCATATACACCTGCTGCTCACAATGCCTGAGGCCCCTCTCAGAGCCACCTTGCAGGTGCCCCCAGCCCGGGCGGGCCTCCTTTCTCCAGGCTTCTGGGCAGTGGAACCTGACCCATTGATGGATGGGGGCACGAAGGAGACGTGCCTGTGTTCCAGCCAACAATTCCCTCCCCCTGCACGTTCATGTCCCCAAACAAGCCCTCCAGAGGCCCAGGCACCTGGGAAAGGCTCCGAGCAAAGGGCTCTGGCCGCTGGGGGAGAGTGGGGACCACCACTTTGCAAGCCAACTTCTCAGCAGCTGTTGTTTCTGTGTGCAGGTGGGAAGGCCTGAGGGATAATTCTCTGGGAAGGTCATACTGAATGCTGGCTGGCTCTACAGGAAAGGGGGTTACTTGAGGACCCCTCTCCCTTCAAGCTATGACCTCGAGAGGAGAGGCAGGGGGAGAAAGCACGAGGCCGAGGTCCTGACCTGTGAAGGCACCTCAGTTTTCTGTCTTGATGGAGGGCACCAAGCGCCAAGACTCCTTTTGAGGGGCCAGAAATGGTCCCCCACACTAGGATTGAGTCAGGAAAAGGGGATGGCACACCATTCTTAACTGGCAAGGGCACCTTGCTACTGACTCAGTGGAGTATGCGTGTGTGCGTGCGTGCATGTGTAAGGTCTCAGTACATGTTGCTGAATAATTCAGTACTGAGATTTAGACATGGGACATTATGATTCCTGTCTCATAAGAGGACAATGTCTTGCAAACATCCTGCCATTTCTGAGGCAGAAGCTGTGAATACTAAGGTCTTGGGCCACGCCCTGCCTCAGGCTGGCAGTTTGGGGGCTCACTCCATCAGCTGCTGTGAGCAGCACCCACAGTAAAAGTGGTTTAATCCCGGGCAGGTTCCTCTTCACCCCTCACCCCTGCCCACCAGCACCTTCTGTGCTTTATTTGTCCAGTTGGTATGCACAGGGGTGCAGCTGTGATGTGGAGAGACGGGGCACTGGACTTGGAGTCAGAAGACCTGAGTGTGACCATAACCCTGACCTTGGTATCAGACCCTCACCTGCCAGAGTCCAGGTCTGCGAGTACCGTCTGCCTTTGTCCGCCTGACTCTCAGCGGGAAAAACAGAAAGCGCTCTGTAACTTGTCAAGTTTAAAACAAATACACCTATTTTTGAAACAGTGGCGTATGCAGAGCCCAACAACACAGGTACCATGTGCCGATTTAGGAAAATACAAATCACTTGCCATACAAATCAGGAGGAGATTTACAAAAGGATCTGATTTGTCCACCAGGTGCATGTAATCATCTCGAATCTGAAGAAAGGACTCGGGGGATGGCGGGCAGGAAGGCAAGGACACTAAATCCCACTGAGGCAGCAAGAGGGAATACATTTGAATTAAAGTCGGAGGCGTTTTGCATTGAATGAAAGAAGGATCTGGTTGCCCATGCAGGGAAGAAGAGCACTCTGACCCAGGAGAGCCAGGGAGTCTTATTCCTGAGACCCTGACAAAGGCTTAGACCCTCAGCTGGACCTCACTTAGACCAAAGCTCCGGACACCTTTGTCTCGGGGTTTGGAGGCAAGCCCGGGGGATGCCTGCCTTCCGTCTGGCACACAGTCTGCCCACCTGGGCTCTGAAGGGGTTGGGCCGAGAGTGGAATTCGTCATGGAGGTAGGGAGGTCTAGGAAAGGTATGGGAGTCCAGCTATCTCTGTATGACCCCTAAGGCAGTGGTCAACAAACTCATTAGTCAACAGAGCCAAATATCAACAGTACAATGATTGAAATTTCGTTTGAGAGCCACATTTTTTAAACTTAAACTTCTTCTAACGCCACTGCTTCAAAATAGACTCGCCCAGGCCGTGGTATTTTGCGGAAGAACCACACTCAAGGGGCCAAAGAGCTGCGGTTTGCCCACCACTGCCCTAAGGAAGGCCCCTGGGCCTGCTGCAGAAAGCTAGCGCTCAGGTTGAGAGGGGCACCCCTGGGAGGGCACTCCTACTCTAAGACCTGAAAAGTGGGTGATTATTGACCAGAGAAAGGAACTGCTTACAGATGGCCCCAGCCCACATACCCGGGACAAGCCAGGGCCTGGATTGGTGGGTCTCAGATTTCCCCAAAAGGCAGGGCCAGCCCTCAAGACAACTTCAGTCATTTGCTTATGTGCTGCCGCCAGGCTTAGTCCTGGGCAGACAGTCCTGATGGCCCCTGGCACATGTCTGGGACCGAGTGTGTGTTGCTCAGAGCAGGGCAAATGCAATG